ACACCTTCCATGCCTCCTTCCAGGAGCCGCTCTACCCGGCCCTGCGCCTCTGGGAGGGGGCCATCAGCATACCCCGGTTGCCCTAGGCGAGCGTGCTTCCTTTCCTAGGCTAGTCTACAAGGCTCTCCCTACGCAACCCCACGCTGCCTGTGTCTGGGACACCATGCAGCCCCTATAACCTCCTGGCACACAGTAGGCACACAGTAAGTTTCGGTGAAAGTTTCCCGGCGGAGGCACTTTATCTCCTTAAAGATCCCCATTTGAACCAACAGCTCTCTAGCCTCTTCAGCTTGTCCAGGTCACCTCGATCCAGAGCACCTGAGAGGGTTTCTTGTCTCCTGCTCTGCATCCTCTCCCATCTTCATCTTCTACACTAAAGCCAGGGTGAGCAACCTGAAACTTAAGCTTGGCCTTTCGGAATCAGAAGGTTCTCAAAGAGGTGCGAGAACAAACCAGAAGCTCTCCTTAGCTGCCTTCTCAATTGTTCTAGCCTGTTCTTTGATGGCCCGACCTCACACAGCTGCTGTGACCCAACATCGTTCGGTCTGAAGTTGGGTCACAGTTTTGCATCTTTAAACCGTTATGCTCCCCAGCATAAATAGGAAAACCGTCTCTTTACCTGTCTCACTCCTCGGGCTTATCTGCCCCAAGAAGCACCTCCACCCCTGGGGGGAGGGGGCGGATAAACTATGAGGCCTGAAAATACAGGAACTGTCATTTCAGGTGCTTTCTAAGCACATCTGTGTCCTTTCCTCCCAAAAATGGTTCAGAAAGTACCCTTCCAGGCAACCAATGAGGGAGTAGCCTGCTACTCACAGAAGGGAAAACTATTGAGAAAGGCTCAAAGGTTGATTTGACAAGACAGAGCTAACACAGATGTATACTTGATACTACATCTCCTTCATTCACAAAAGACCAAGAGCTTTTCCCACCCACACCGCTGTACACACACTTGATCCTTACATCATCCCTCAAAGGTGGGAAGTGATCCACAGTGTCAGCTGACTGCCCAAGATAGTGGGGAACCAGTGTTTCAGTTAGGGTCTGTGCCCCCACCAGGCTGTGTTGTGGACACCACAGCTTATCTCCCACAGTAGGAGCTGCCTCCGTTTTGTTTTGTTTTTTTCATCTACTTCCTTGGGCCAAACTGACCTCTAGATTACCTTCACTAGTCTCTGAAACAGATACCCTTCACGGTGGGGAATGGAATTGTTTGAAGAGGCTGTGATTTGAGTATAAAGCAGAAAGACTGGTTCTGGGCCAAGGTTTGTACCAGGTGGAAGGCTAGTTTCCCATAGCTGTGTGACCTCACGCAGCACACATTCTACTGCGGCCCCCCAATCTGTAAAATGTGGGCCAGTGCCGCCTGGTCCAAACAACCCAAAGCTAATGAAATTGCCTTAATAACTATGTTGTATCAGGCTAGGATCTGTTAGCATCTCCCAACAGATTCTCCCCTTGTACCTTGTCACAGTGCTGGACTAAGGATACCAAGGTGGGTGGCAGCTGAGGAGCTGTCCCGATACTCTCAGGGCTGTTCCCTTGGGATCCATGTTCTTGAAGGTAGAAAGCACGTGTCTTGATGCTCTTGGTTTTGTAGAATTTACCTCACAGGTAAAACCACAAATTATTTTCCCCTGGTGCTTGGGCTAGAACCCATGGCCTTGCACATCCTAAGTGTATGCCCCATGGAGCTGTACTCCAGCCCCAGCAACTGTTTCTTTAGTGAGAAAAAAGCTTAGTCCAGACCAGCCCCAAGGGAAATGGAGGACCGACACCTCTGTTCCAAATGTCCAGCTTCAAGGGACAGCAAGTGTGGTGCATAAGATTCCTGAGACTGGGCTAGGCAGAGGCTGGCTCCTCAGAGGGGTCTCAGACCTGGGGCCAGCTGCTGTTTTCTAGGCACCATCTCCCAGAGAGGTTTGTGTATCATTTCCTTTGGGCACATGGTTTCAGTCCATGTTGGCTAGTGACAACCATATTTTTAAATGACAAGTTTTCTAATATATGCGTTGCTTAATAAAATACAAATACTCTCTCATAACTGTGTTCTTCAAAGGGAGTCAAATGCATAGCACACAGGTCTGGATAAGACCTCATTCATCTGCCATTCCCTTCATAGCTTTCTTGAAATAGTCAGCTGGTCCTAAATAGAACACTTCCAGTGATGGGGAGCTCACCACTCATGAAGATAACCAAGTTCTTTTTAACATTCATTTTGTGGGGGCAGGGGACCTGAGTACCATGGTACACACATGGATGTTGGGATAACTGGTCGAAGTGGGTTTTGTCTCCCAACATAAGGGTTGTGGGGATTGAACTCAGGTTGTCAGGATGATGACAATCTATCCCCTAAGTTTTCCAAGGAAGCAACCCAACTCTCAGCTGTTTCCAGCCACAAAAATACTGTGAAACATGTTTGTACATCATCCTTTAGCACCATGGAAGCCTTCTATGGTCTCTAGCTTTTAGAGAATTCAGGGGCTCTTTTGCCTATAGTGCCATCTCTTCCACCCAAAATTCTACTTTATCAGGGACACTGGCCATACAGGAGTTCCTAGAGGATAGAAGCATTTAGTGTTGTGAGGGACAGCCTGCTCAAGACAGCATGTGTTTGGTGAGTGGAGGTCCCAGGCCAGATTCTATCACGTTCTGATCAGAAATTTTCTAGGGGGAATGAGGAGGCTAGTAATATGGTTCAGCAGGCTAAGTGCATGCTTCAAAGCCTGGCAATCTGAATTCAATCCCAGGGTCCATTTGGTGAGAGGAGAGAAGTAACTCTTAAAACTTGTCCTCTGCTGGGCGTTGGTGGTGCACGCCTTTAATCTCAGCACTCAGGAGGCTGAGGCAGGTGGATCTCTGAGTGAGACCAGCCTGGTCTACAAGAACTAGTTCCAGGACAGCCTCCAAAGCCACAGAGAAACCCTGTCTCGAAAAACCAAAAAAAAAAAAAAACTTGTCCTCTGGCTGGGCGATGATGGTGCAGCCTTTAATCTCACCACTGGGGAGGCAGAGGTAGGCAGATCTCTGAGTTTGAGGCCAGCCTGGTCCACAAAGCAAGTTCCAGGACAGACTCCAAAGCTACAGAGAAAGCCTGTCTCAAAAAACCAAAACAACAAAAAACACAGAGTGCATACCCACCCATACATATACACACAAAATGTAGAGGCTAGAGAGATGTCTCAGTGGTTAAGAGTACTGGCTGCTCTTGGAGAGGACTCAAGTTCAGTTTCTATCAACCACATGGTAGTCCACAACTGTATCCATTTCATGAGATTAAACACTCTGGCTCCTGTTGGCACCAGACACACATGTGGTGTGCAGACATACATGCAGGCGAAACCATACACATAAATGTAGAAAAGAAAAACTGAATCCTTGGCTCACCACTCCCCAAAGAACTCGGAAGGCTCTGACCCCTTCTTCCCCACATTCCACTCCTACCAAACCACTTCCCAGCTTCCGGGCATTTCCCTAGCCTGCACAGTTTATCCCTTAGCTATTGCTCAATCTACAAGGCTAAACTAGCTGTAACTTCTAGGAGACGTTCCCCTCACCTCTTTTATAGTGAAGGTCAGCTCAGTGGATCCTGTCTGTGGAGGTGACAAGGGCACAGCACTGGAGAGTCTGCCCACAAGCACTTAGGCATGCCAATTTTCCAACTCTGAGTAGGCTGGGAAGTGCCTGGATACAAACCAGAACACCCCTCACTCCCACCACCCCAGAAGTCAGTCTAGACTCCAAGAAAGGGAGTCCTAATTCACAAAGAAACCTCTCAGGCTCATGGAGAAGAGGCTTGAATAGACTTTCAAATAGGAATGATATAGTAAATAAGGTTGGGTTGGGCCCAGAGAGATGATGGCTCAGTTTTTATGAGTTCAAACTATTCTTGCAAACCCACCACCCATATCAGGCAGCTCACAGCTGCTTATAACTCCAGCGCCAGGTGATCCGACACACCCCCACCCCCACCCCCGGCCTGTGAGGGCATGCACAAACACACACACACACACACACACCACACAAAATCTTAAAAAGATAAGGTCAAATAAGTATGAACACAAAGATTAAGAACTTGAAAAGGGGACTGGAGAGGTGGCTCAGAGGACCTGGGTTCAATTTCCAGCACCCACATGGCAACTCACAACTGTCTCTAACTCCAGTTCCAGGAGATTCGAGACCCTCACACAGACATATGTGCAAGCAACACACAACACACACACACATACACACCAACCAACCAACCAACCAACCAACCAGGCAGCTGTGGTACAAGTCTTTAATACTAGCACTCAGGAAGCAGAGGCAGATGGATCTCAGAATTCAAAGCCAGCCTGGTCTACAAAGTGAGTTCCAGAACAACCAGAGCTACACAGAGGAATCCTATCTGAAAAAACCAAAACACACACACACACACCACCTTGAAAAGCAGCAGCTGAAGAGAAGTCTCAGCAGTTAAGAACATTTTTTGCTCTTGCAGAAATCCTGGGTTAAATTCTCATCATGTACATAGCTCATACTATAATTCTAGTAAGGGGATCTGATGCCCTCTTTTGACCTCCATTATACATACATACATAAAATAAACATAAATCTTTAAAGAGAGAAAGGGCTTTAAAAGGGCTTAAGATGGCATGATAGGTAAGAGTGTTTGCTGCTAAAGCACTGGGACCTGAGTCCTCAGCACCAAATGAAAAGCCAGGCCAAGCAGAGACAGATTTCTGGAGCCTGCTAGAAGTCAGCACAGCTGATGCTGCCTCAGATAAAGTGGACAGTGATAAAACAGGATATCTGACCTCTGCAAACATACACAAACACACAAAAGGGGCGGGGTGGCTAATGGGCCAGTGATACAGGTCAGCTGGTAAATAGGAATGCTGCCAAGTCTGATGGCCTCAGTTTTATCCTTGGAACCAACATGGTGGAGGGAGAGAACTGACTCCCACAAGTCACTCTCTGTAACTCTTGCACACATACACACATATAAAAAAATAAAATGTGGGCCCAGTGTGGTGGTGCACACCTTGAATCTCAGCAATCAGGAAGCAGAAGGCAATCAGATCTCAGAGCTCAAGTCCAGTCTGGTCTACATAGCAAGTTCCACAATAGCCAGGGAAATAGAGTGAGATCCTGTCTCAGGAAAAAAAAAATTCTAAATAAAATGAAGACAATTAGATACTTGAAAAGAACAAAATGATTAATCTCAGCATTGATTCCAAAGAACAAAGTGAAATGTGACAATGAACCTCTATAAAAAGTTCACACAGCTTAAAGAAGTCGAACAATGGAGTCTTTGTGCCTGGGTTTGTAATCTGTCATATGTGACAAGACACTCTGGTGATTACCACAGGGATCATTTCTGCATCCCTCCTCACACTTGAGACATCTAAGCTCTATGCGCCACACTGTCACCTTGCACAGATACAGACAGTTCTTCCCCTCTTCACATTCCCCTTCTAACAGTTGCCTCACTGATCCACTGTGTGCACCATGGGTTAGCATACACCTGCCCCGTCTGAGGACTAGCCCTCTGAGGAAGGGGCTGGCTGCTTAGAGCCATGGTGGTAACTGACATAGAGTGTGCCCTGAGGATTTGCCAAAGGGAAATTTGCTCTCTCCCAACCTTTACTCACAGAGACAGGTGAGCCTGCCTCTGCCCACAGGGCCTCAGGCAGTCTAATGCAAAATGATCACTCTGGGAACCCAGGGCAGGATAGGAGAGGAGGGAAATCAACTGTCTGAGGAATCAAGATCTCGAGTTCCTGGAGTTGCTCTGTAGGTAGGAACATGAAGGATTAAGGTGACAACAGAGCTACACAGAAACCCTGAAGGAGCTACATTTGCTCTGGGCCACCTTCTCTGGCTGGACACCTCAAAGTAGAATGGCTTCATTGGCTCTTCCTTTCCAATGGGCTGGACACAGGTGGCCACTGTGACAGGGTGCACCCAATACACTGGACAGTAGTAGCAGGGTGGCTGAGAAGCCAGGGAGTGGCACTTTATTTTAAGATTTGATTTTCTTGCTGTGATTTTCCACAGAGTCTTCCAGGATTGTGTCATCTTCTTCAACAGTGACTAGCATCTTCTTGCCCACTAAGTTGAAGATGTCTTCAGGAGGATAGCCTTTAGGCTCCCCCACCTTCACAGTGAGCATGTCCAGGGTCAGGACGGTGCCTTCGGGGATTCTCACTTTGGCCACCACAGACTTGCCCAGCTGTGGACACAGGAAGATCAGTGTCAGATCCTAGAAATCACTCCTGCGCACTTGACATTCCTGTGATGGGACCTTCACAGCACAGACTTTACTCACTAGTGTCAGGTGACATCACAGACTAAGAGGACAGGCCTTCCCAGGAACACAGCACAAAGGGCAGGGCTCAGGCTGTGTAGCCTGATAGATCCAGGTTCAAATCCTGTGGGCCTTGGGTGCTTTGTTTGGCTTCCCTGCTAAAGGTGCTGGCACCTTGTCAGAGTATTAACAGAGTGGGATAGAGCATGCTCCCAGCATATGACAACAGTGATTACTTTTGTCCCCACAACATGACAACTGTGATTGCTTTTGTCCCTGTCTAGTTAACATATTATGAGAAACTAAGGTCAAAAGAAGGCAGGCAGCTTGGTCAAGTTGTCAATAGCCAAGATGAGAACCTAAAAGAGGGGTAAGGAGGGCTCATGAGCAATGAGGGTGACTGTTACTCAGATGACAAGGGGTGCCCAGGAAGGGGACAGACACTACAGAAGATGTGGAGACCAGGGCCTGGCTCACAACCAGCACCTCGGCCTCCCCGTAAATACTCTGAAGCAGCATTTGCTGCCCTCCATAGCTCACACATGAGAGCTTTCGAGTGCTAATTCTGCTTGGAACTTAGCACCAGGAAAAGCTGTCTCAGCGGCTGATTATCATACTGTGGCCCTTGCTGTGTTTCGCCCTCCGCTTTGAACACGCCCAACTCCTGTAACTCTCATGCTAGTTTTCTGCACAACTCTCCCCACTTCATCTGCAAGGCGATTATATTCTTTTACTGCTAACTTCCCAGTACATGTGGGCCTGTGATGGGGGGGCATAGCAGGTAGTCTTCCACGGAATAAAAGATGACAATATTTCTCATGTATACCGAGTGTCTATCCTCTGCCCTGAGCCATACTACTGCCAATGAGGAGTTCTGGCTCTAAACGCCCAAGGACAGAAAGGCCCAGGCCACAGCTTCCAAGAAGTCGGAAGGCATGCCTCAGCCTCACCATCACTGCCTACCAGCGCCACACAATGGCCGTGGCCACCCACCCAGTGCCCCCTTGTACTTAGGACTGCCCAGGCTCTCTTCCCAATGCCTCAGAATATGCCTACTCCAAGTGACCCGGTTAGGCTATCTTAGAGCTTCACTTTGTATCTCCTAGGGTTCACAGCCGAGGCCACAGGCTTCAGAGACTTAGTAGAAAAGCTAATGTGACCAGAGGTGGATGAAAAGCCTGAATTGCTCTTATGTAACACATCACCCTGCTGCTCCCACAGCCTAATGACACTCAGATGGGTGGGTATGACATTCCTTTACCTGGTCATCCCTCAGGCTCAAACAGGCCATACTGAATCCAGCTCCTAGCCAAGTGTGCCACACCTACTTCAGGACAGCAAGGCTAGGCAGTCACAGAGTCAGGAAGCACCCACCTTCTCGTTGCAGGCCATCTCACAGGGCAGCAGCTGCTTTGTTGGAGATCCCAATGCCCGCTCTACCAGGCGCACAGACCGCACCAGCTCTGCCAGTTCTCCAGGCTCCAGCGAGGCTGAGTGGTCACTCCCCTTCCAGGTTTTGTCCAAAGTTATGTGACGTTCCAACACCTTGGCCCCCAGAGCCACTGCAGCCACAGATATGGCAATGCCTGTCTCATGCCCAGAATACCCTATGGGAATGTCGGGAAAGAGTTTCTGGTATTCCTATAAAATAGAAAGGGGGAGTGGTTACCCTTCTGGGACTTCACACATGTTCCCCTCATCAGGGAGATCTGACCAGCACCCCACTTCAGCCACTCCCGGGCAGAGCAGCCAGGGGTGGGACAGTAAGGCAGGCACTCTGAGCCTCCCCTTTGTGGGAAGAATAAAAGCATCCATTGAGGGTTGTTGGGAACAGTGAGAGCACCTGCTGTACTGGCTGGTTTTATGTCAACTGACACAGGAGGGAGCCTCAATTGAGAAAATGCTTCCGTAAGATCTGGCTGTAGGGCTGGAGAGATAGCTCAGAGGTTAAGAGCACTGGCTGCTCTTCCAGAGGTCCTGAATTCAATCCCCAGCAACCTCATGGTGGCTCACAACAATCTATAATGATATACGGTGCCCTCTTCTGGTGTGCAGACATACATGCAGGCAGAATGTTGTATTCATAATAAATAAGATCTGTAAATTTACAAAGTGTGCCATAGTTGGTTACAATTTTGGTTGTAACAAAAGCTAGGGCTAGGGCTACATACAGCTCAGTGGCGTGCCATGGCCCTGGGTCCAATCCCCAGCACTGCAAATGAACAGACAATGAGGAAATGGGTCAATAAGACCCGCACTTCACGCTCACCGAGATGACGCGCAGGTTGGCATCCTCCGGCTGCAGTGGGTAGGCACTGGTGCACTGGAGGAAGCAGAAGTTGGGGTTGAGGGGCTTCACGATCTGGTATACTTGCTTCATGGTGTCCATCGACTGCATCCCACTGGAGATCACCATAGGCCGACCTGAAGAACCGGCACCTTCTTCACAGGGCTCAGACTCCCCCTCCCACATCGCCCTAGACACCGCACAGTTGCTGATGGGGAAATCCACTTCCTCAGCATCATGCTTCAGCAAAGGGAAGCACACCAAGGGGAAGAGAGGCATCTCTACAGATCAAGAGGCTGCACGGTACAGAACAGGCTTCGTCTCAGTCTACGAATCCCAAATCCAAATACTCCAAATTCTGGAACACTCTTGCTCGCAAGCATTTGGAATGAGGGACACACAACCTGCAGTGTGGTAGATTCCCAGTGCATGAGCACAGCTGAGGCGGCCTGAGAGAGAGAGCTACCAGCTCTAGTGCTGGCCTGCATAGAGCCCTGTCCTCAGGGCTTGTGACACCTTGCCTACGACACAAGTACAGAATATGCTGGCAGCATGACCTGCTTCCATCCCAGGTTTGTAATGAGGGTCAACTGAGATCATTCACTTTTGGGAAGTCAATTTACCAAGTGTCATGTGGAGACTTAAGAACGGAGATTCCTACAGGGGGTGAGGATGTGGCTCAGTGGTGGAACACACACATCCAGTGCACAGGACACTGGGTTCAGTCGCTAGCACTGCCCTAAAACAAAAGGGTAGGAGGTTTCTAGAATGTGTCTCCAAAGCTGGGTGTGGTGGCACACATCTCTAATCCCAGTACTAGGAGGTGGAGGCAAGCAGATCTCTAAAAGTCTGAAGCCAGCCTGGTCTATAGCAGGTTCCAGGCCAGTCAGGCTACATAGTGAGGCTCTGTCTCAAAAAACAAACAAAGGAAAAAACCCAGATGAGTCTCCATAAATACTATCACAGTAAGCGGCCACTAGGGGGCAGAAACACGAAGTATGGACTCTGGTTATAAGAAAAAAAGACACTTACCTTTCTTGGCTGTCTTCTCCAGATAAGGAAAATTGTTAGTGTCACCAGATCCAACTTTGAAAAACGGGACATTCAGTTCATGCAGAAACTCAACTGCCATCTACAAAAAAATGAGATCGGGTACCTTTCACCATTGTTCAGAAACACTGCCCTTGGCCTCGTGGTACAGGATGGGTGATGGAGGAACCCAGTGCAGGAGACTAGAAAGCAGGGGGGGTGGAGGGGGCAGGGGAGTTCCTGCTAGGAAGAGTGCCTCATTTTGTAGACCACTTGAGGAAATCATTGCCATCTAGTGGCCATTTTGAAAACTGCCACCTTGATTCATCACCCTGCAAGTGTTCAAACCTGCCTTCAGGTCCTGCCTTCAGGCTTGGTCACAGCATAGTGGCTTTCTTTCCAGGGGCCTGCTGGCTTCCTCTGACCTGCCCTACTGCTGTTAGACCTCTTTCCTGACCCTACCACTTTTGCTTTTCAGTTTGCCTTAAAGTAATTCAATCAATACATAGCTCTTCAGACGCCTAACTGGGATCAGGCCATGGAACATGCCACCCCCAGCAGACTGGTGTCAAAGAAATGCCAGCTATGGATCCCAGGAGGGAGGGTCCTGGAGATAAACCTGTCTGGTTTCAAATCTAGGTCTACCAAACTGGTTTGACTTAGGATGCTTTTTTTTGCTTTTTAAAACAGGCTCATGCTATTCTAGGCTGGCCTGGAACTTGCTATGTAGCCTACACTGGCCTCCAACTCTTGATTCTCCTGCCTCAGTCTTCCAAGGGCTAGGATTACAGGCATCACCACCATGCCTGGTTGACTGACTCAGAGCTGTTTAAAGTTCAGTAAGAGCAGACAGCGGGCAAGGCACCACACGCCTTTGATCCCAGCACTAGGAAGGTTGAAGCAGGTGGATCTGTGAGTTTGAGGTCAGCCTGGTCTGCAGTGCATTCCAAGACAGCCTCCAAAAGCTACAGAGAAATCCTGCCTCAAAAAACCAAAACAAAACAAAATCCACAAATAAAATACAAACAGATAGTAGGTGGTCATAGATCCTTTCTGTGTGGATACTCTGAGAAACTACTGATCTAAGGAAGGGGTAACAGTGCTTCTGTTTTGAAAATAATGGCACCATCTTGTAACCCAGGCTAGCCTCAAAACTGCCTCCCTCCTATCACTGCTTTGAGTGCTGGGATTCCAGGCACGCTCCACCGCACTGGGGGAATTGGGACTTTTCTAAAGGCCCTTTGGCTGGGATCATGCAGGAGAGGAAAAAGCCCACAGTGATGAACTGGAGAGAGCAGGGGTGAGTGACCATTGGAGAGCTATGAATGAAAATTCAAAAAAAATAAAATAAAAATAATGGTGTGTCTGACTAGAAACAATAACAACAACAAAAACCTAGACGGAGTTTCTGTGTCTGTAGAGACTGAACCAATTAGAATTTCAGTACTGTGGACAGATTGGAATTTTTAGAATCAGAAGCTAATTACTTTATCTTGGGCTAGTTTTAGCCATGCCTTGTCCCACTATATATCTGAACTAACACCTCATGGCAATAAATAAAAACCTCAGCCAGGCAGTGGTAGCACAATCTTTAATCCCAGCACTCAGGATGCACAGGCAGGTGAATCTTTGAGTTTGAGACCAGTCTGGTCTACAGAGTGAGTTCCAAGAAAAATAAGGGCTACAGAGAGAAACCCTGTCTCAAATAAATAAATAAATAAATAAATAAATAAATGAGTAAGTAAGTGAGTAAATAAATACCTCTTAGAAGCTATCAACTTAGCAGAACACTGGTGGGCCAGTCCAAGAGCTAAATGTCATCAGACAGCATCTTGGGCCTATAGAATGGCTCCCCTGTCATATTATACCCACCTCTCTGGTATACTCACCAATGTATTTTAAAGTTGCTCTGATTTATGACTCTCTTATTTCTGTAAAACTACAAAAACCCTGTGAGACCACTTCCACGTTGGAACATGGAATTTGGGGTAACCTAAGTGTGTCACTCAGAATGGCTCCAGAATAAACTGTCTCTTGTTCCATTTAAGATGAGAGATGTGGTCTTTATGTCCACAGAGCACAGAAGGATGGGCCAGCCCTGTCATAGGCACCAGGCAGCAGGCAGCCAGAGGAAGGAGGTGGAGAGGAAGGACATGAACAGGTGCCCTTCAGAGGCCCCAGGCTCATGGTTTCTGCTTGCTGCCCCAACACTAAGCTTTCTTTGACTGAAGCCCACCTCTGCTGCACTCCCTCCTGAAAGGTGTCCTGGGAACTTCTTCTGTCTCCATAAAATTCTGCCACACCTCAACCATTCCTAAGCACACAGAGAACACCCGAGGAACAAGGCACTTGTAAATGCCGTCATATCGCAGTCAGGAAGTTTAACCCTGGGAGCCACCTGCTTCAGAAACAGGTGGGAGACGTGGAAGAACAGGCAGAACCCAATGAAGCCAGCTCTGAAGAGGCTGACCAGGAAATGCTAACTTGGCAAAGAATGATTAATTTACTCTTTGTAAAGGCTTTATAGACTATTTCCCCATCACTGCCCTTTCTCCTCCCTACCTGTGCCCAAGGACAGCCATGACACCAGCTGCAAACAAGTGCCAGAGGAACCTCCTTCCTAAGAGGCAGCAGGGAAACCCCAGCAGATTTTCAGTATAGAAAAGCAGTACTGTTTCTGGCTTGCAGGCTGTGTTGGCCAGGCTCACCACCAAGGGCTAGGACTTTTCAATTTTTTTAAAAATTTGCTTTTTGGGGTTTTGTTTGTTTTTTCCATGATGAAAGAAGAAAGCAACAGAATCTCACTTTGTATCTCTGACTGTCTGAAACTCACTATACAGCATAGGTTGGTTTTGAACTCACAACAGTCACCCAGCCTACACTTAACCAGTGCTGGAATGAAAGGCACAGGCCATCATATGGGCTTCCTGCCTTTTGCAAAGACCAATACTTACAATTACAAACATATTCTGAAGTCTGTAAACTAACACAAAGACAGGGGTATGTTTTATGAACCAGCACTCAGGAGGTAGAGTTCCAGATCAGTATCATCTACATAGCATTTTCCAATAGGATTACATAGTAAGACATAGTGAGACAGAGAGAATGTGTGTGTGTGTGTGTGTGCTCACGCATGCACACTTTCAATCATCTAACTAAAGCCAATGAGAAACTATTCCAAGGGCAGTAAAAGCGTGTCCCTAAAGTCCACCCTAAGGACTCTAAGGAAGTAACTGAGGACACACAGAAAAGATGCTCACCTTGGCATTTGTTTTGTTATGAGACATTCTCATGTATTTCAGGCTGGCCTCAAACCATGCAGCTGAGGTTGCCCTGAACTAATTCTCCTACCTCCACCTCCCAAATACTAGAGTTAAAAGTTGACACCACCAAGTCTGGTTCAGCATCATTTAACAGTATAAAAAAACTAAAAGTAATAGCCAGATGCTGGTGACACAAACCTTTAATCCCAGCACTCAGGAGGCAGAGGCAAGGGGATCTCTGTGAGTTTGAGGCCAGCCTCGTATACAAAGTGAGTTCCAGGGCTGTTTCACAGAGAAACCCTGTCTGGAAACCAAAGGAAAACAAAACAAAACAAAACAAAAACTAAAGGTAAGCCTGTAATCCCAGCACTCAGGATTCTGGGGGTGGAGTACCATGAGACCAGCCTGGTCTACATGGTGAGTTCCAGACCAGCCAAGGCTACATACTGAGACCCTGTCTCAAAAAAACAAAACAACAAATAACATTCTAGTGTATCCTCCAAATGAAACATTGTACTGCTACCAAAGCCTTTACAAAGGTAGAATAAAAGCTGTGTTCTAACATTAACTGGGAAAAAAAAGGACAGAAAACCAAATGTGACAAGCCAGGAAGTAACCAGTAGCAGTACATACTGTAAGACTCAAAAAGGAAATCCAGAGAGAGACAACATATGGGAACCATAGGCCATCCCCTGTCATTCCTGTGTCTCAATCTCTTCCTGTTGCCTTTGGATCCCGATGCAGAACTGTCAGGTATCTCTCCAGTTCTATGTCTGTCTGTGTGTCACCATGCTTCCCACCATGACAATGGACTAAACCACAGAACTGTAAGCCAGCCCCAATTAAAGGTTTTCCTTTATAAGAGTTGCCATGGTCATGGTGTCTCTTCACAATAATAGAAACCCTAAGACATAAACTTTCTGTACCATTGTCCTGTTTCTAAGACTAAAGTTTTTAACATTCAGAAAAGAGAGAACATAGGATCACCAAAAGACAGAAGTTATACCTGGCAGCGGTGGCACAAATCTTTAATCCCAGCACGCAGAAGGCAGAGGCAAACAGATCTCTGAGTTCAAGGCTAGCCTGGTCTACAGAGTGAGTTCTAGGACAGCCAGGGTTATAATAGAGAGACTGTCTCAAGAGAGAGAGGGAGAGGGGGAGAGAGAGAGAGAGAGAGAGAGAGAGAGAGAGATTATAATGCAAAATGGACTTGAGGCCTAGTACCAGATGGACTCTTCTAGGATGTCAGTACAGCCAGCCTCTGAGCCACTTCCCTGTGGGTGATACCAACGGCACCCCAGAGAGCCAGTCAGAGCTGGCTGGTGAGGCACACTGGTTTCCAATCTAAACCACATTCTCATGGTGGAGCCTGGCGCAGCTCAGCTGCCCCACAGTGTGAAGATGCTGGGGTTCAGCGTGGCTGCTCTGATCCAAGGGCACTGCTTTTAAACTATGGTACCCTTCTCTCAAAACACCTTTTCTGAGCCTCCGGCCGGCCGGCTTCCTACTTAGCTGGACATAGTTAAGATAAGCAGAGCTAGAGCTGGCTTTACACCAAAAGATGCCTGCGTCCCACAAGTGGCCGAGCGCTCACCTCATCCATGCCAGAGGCAGTGAAGAAGATGCCAATCTCCTGCGCATAGCGCTGCAGCTCCTTGTACTGGGCGTGGCTGAATTCTAGATGCCGCTTATGCTCGCCGTATGTCGTCCCCCATGAATGCTTCGAAGTATATGGTCTCTCCAGGGCCTTCCGGTTAAACTTGAACTCCAACTCACTCTTCTGAAACTTAGCACAGTCAGCCCCACACTCCTGCAACACACAGAAGGACAATTTCAGTGACCTGGAGCAGAAGTATTGGGGAGCAAATGATATGACATCATTATATCTAGACAAAATGGAATGGGGCTGAAAAAATGCTCAGTGGGTGAAATGAGGTCATGAGGATTTAAGTTAAATCCTCACCACCCATGTAAAAGAGTCAGATGTCGTACCCCCATCCCTGGGGCTGGCTGACCAAATCATGAGCAATATGTCTCAAAAAATAAGGTGGAGGGCAGGTAAAATGGCTCATCAGATAAAGACGCTTGACATCAAGCCTAACAAACTGATATAGTAGAAGAACAGAACTCCTGAAAGTTGTGTTCAGACCTCTAGACAAGCACAGTGGCATGTACACACACGTACACACACACGTACACACACACACACACACACACACACACACACACACACACACACACACAATACATAGTGAGATAAGGTCTCACTAAATAGCCTGGACTGGCCTGGAAATTGCTCCCTAGACCAGCATGGCCTCAAACTTACAGTGGTTCTCCTGCCTCTGCTTTCTGACTGTTAGGATTGATTAAAAGTGTGGATCACTACAACAGGCTTACATAAAAGTTCTTTTTAAAAAGAAAAACAGAAAAAGAAAGAAAGAGAGAAAGAAAGAAAGAAGGAAGGAAGGAAGGAAGAGAGAGAGAGAGAGAGCGGGTGGTGGAGGTGTTGGGGGGGCGTAGCACACGCCTTTAATCCTAGCACTCCAGAGACAGAGTCAGGCAGATCTCTGAGTTTAAGGCCATCCTGGTCTACAGAGTGAGTCCCAGGACAGTCAGGGCTACACAGAGAAACCGTGCCTCAAAAACAAATCTTTAAACTGGGTATAGCAGTGTGTGCCTTTGATCCCAGGCACTTAGAAGGCAGAGGCAAAGGCAGGTGGAACTCTGAATTGGAGGCCAGCATGGTCTATAAAGCAAGTTCTGGGACTACATAGTTTGATCCTGTCTTGAAAAGAAAAGAAAGAAAAACTGAAATAAAAAGTCCTTTTAAAAATGTATTTTATTGGCCTGGTGAAATGTCTCAGCTGGTAAGTGCTCAGGCCTGATGACCTGTGTTTGATCCCTGAGACCCACACATGTGGAAATGCACTCTAAATGTAATAAAACAAACAACAGATTCATCATGGGAGCAAGTGAGCTTGCACACTACAAACCCCAAGTACTAAACGTACAAATGTGCCTCGTGCTACAAATGGCAGCAAAGTCAAAATGAAGGGACTGTAAGAATTCCCCTGCTTTGAATTTTAAAACACCACAGAAAGAGAAATAAGAAACACTCAAAGCCTAGAAAAGTCACCTGCTCAAGACCATTCAACTAGTAATGTCCAGAATCTAGGCCAGGCCCCTTGCACTGCCACACAGGCCCAACCTTGTCCCTGTGTCCCCAGCCCCAGTGCCCTCCAGAACTAAAGAGAATGTGTGAGAGAAAACCCATAACTCTGTTTGCTCAGTTTTTATAGGATCTTTACAGCTTCATCATACAGAGAGGTCACACCTTGGAAAAACAGGCTGTTCCTCTGAACCCTTTATAGAACAAAGGTTGGAGACTTGTGTCTAAACGCAAAGATTAAAAAGTGTGAGGTTTTGGGGGCTGGAGAGATGGCTCAGAGGTTAAGAGCACTGGCTGCTCTTCCAGAGGTCCTGAGCTCAATTCCCAGCAACCACATGGTGGCTCACAACCATCCGTTATGAGATCTGGTGCCCTCTTCTGGTGTGCAGATATACATGGAAGCAGAATGTTGTATACATAATAAATAAATAAAATCTTTAAAAAAAAAAAGTGTGAGGTTTTGAGATGAGGTCTCATTATGTAGCCTTGGTGGGCCTAGAACTTGTTCTCTAGACCAGGCTGGCCTCGAAATCATAGAAATCTGCCAGCCTCTGCTGGGATCAAAGGTGTGCACCATCACAACTTGCTTCTTTAAGTCTTTAAAATGAAACTGACAACAGGCTGTTGTAGAAATGAAAGGAGAGGACACTTAAAAGCACTTAGCTCAGTCCCAGCACTCAGGAGGCAGAGGCAGGCGGATCTCTGTGAGTTCGAGGCCAGCCTGGTCTCCAGAGCGAGTGCCAGGATAGGCTCCAAAGCTACACAGAGAAACCCTGTCTCGAAAAAACAAAAAAAAAAAAAAAAAAAAAAAAGCACTTAGCTCGGTACTTCAGAGTGAGAATCTAAAACTTGTTAGCAGTTATTACTCCTAAATCCCTTTGGGATTCAATGGTACTACATTCACAAGACCATTTATTTTTACCCTGAGAAAGGGTAAAGTAAAACTGAATTTCAGACAATAAAAGTTAAGTGGTCAGCTACTTCTCTTTTTTTAAATTAATTTATTTACTTTATGTGTATAGGTGTTTTGTCTGCATGTATGTCTGGTGTGAGCAGAGGTGAGAAGGTGTCAGATCCCTTAGAACTGGGGTCAGACATGGTAGTGAGCTGCCAGGTAGGTACTGGGAATTGAACTCAAGTATTTTGGAAGAGAAGCCAGTGCTCTTAACCACTGAGCCATCTTTCCAGCTCCAGGAACTGCTCAGTGTAATGGCCCATGCCTATAATCCCCCAGCATTTGGGAGACTGAGGCAGGAGGACTGTCACAAGTTTCAGCCTAGTCTGGTCTACATAGTAAGTTCCAAGCCAATCTACAATACAGAGTGAGAGAAACTCTTGTTGACAAAAACAACGAAAATCATCAATTAAAAAAAAAATAATAAGCCAGGCAGTGGTGGCTCATGGCTTTAATCCCAGCACTTAGGAGGCAGAGGCAGGCGAACTTTATTTATTAAAGCTGAGGGCTAGAGTCACAATGATGAGCACTACGGTCTTAGAGACCGATTCATAACAGAGAAATGTTTAAATAATGTATGACAAGCCCCCAAGGGAAGGCTTGCACACATAATCCCACCATTTGAAAGACAGAAGCAGAATGACTAAGGGAGAGCTTGGGAGCCACGATGAGTCCCAGGCTAGCCCAGGTTAGAATGAGACCCTGTTTCAAAAAGACTAAAAACAAACCAGTGTGAGTGCTAGGGCTGGGGGCTGCGGGTGGGAATGGCTGGAGAAATCATCTTGTAGTTCTGACTGAAGAGTGGCGATTTACTGAGAAGTGTGTGTGTGTGTGTGGGGGTGCATACTCATACATATCTTAGCAGTAGTAGGGGTCACCTAAGGAGCTCTGTGCTGACTACCGTGCTTTACACTCCTTTCTTCATTTGATGCTCATCACAACGCCACGAAGCCGGGTTTTCAAAGCAGGCAGCAGCTTAGGCAGTACAGAAATTCCCCTAGCGGGATCTGCACTCCGAAACCTGCACTTTTCACCGTTCAGCAATGTAAACACTGGGACTGGCAGGTGAAAAAATAAAAAGGAACAGCAACTTCCAACGACTGTAGTTGTTGGAAACCAATGGTCACGGGAGGCTCTCCGAGGTGTCTTATGACAAGCAGGAAGGGGCTGGGTCCCTAAGATCCTGGTCTGGTAGGGAGCCCACGGACTACGCCAGGCAAGGGCAGAAGCTAATCTAACCGGAAAAGGGAAGAAAGAGGTCGGGTCAGCAGGGAGGCGGAGGGGACGAGCAAGCGCTCCTGGAAGATCGAGCTGCGGAGCCGAGGCAAGTGAGACACGGAGCACAGAACCAGAAAGCTCTCGCGACCGCGCTTTCCGGAACCTCCCGGTGAACTCTTCCAGGTCCCTCCTTAACTCGCCTCTGGGCTCCACTGTTAACCTCCCGCGGCCCCGCCCCTCACCTTGGCAGTGCGGATCATGCGCTTGGCTATGTCCAGGTCGCCCTGGTGGTTCTGGCCGATCTCCGCGATGATGAAGCACGGATGCTGCCCTCCCACCCAGCGCCCGGGACACAGCTCCAGTTCCAGCGGCATGATGTCCACCCGCGCCCGCGCGCTTCTCGTGGCGTTTCCGCCCCCGCTGCATAGGCCCGCGGGTCCCGGCCCGCCACGTCAGCTGGGCGGCCGCCCCGCAGCCAATCCGCGGGCCCCGTCTCGCTCGACAGCCAATAGGAACCCTCCCTCGAGGAGAACGGAGACAAGAGCAAGCCCCGCCCCGCCTGCGCCGCGGGCGGGGCCCGTAGGCGGGATCCCGGGTTTGGCCACCGCCTCCAGGCATGGCTTGGTTTAAGCTAGGCGCTAAGGGCAGGAGAGAGTGCACCCCATGATGCAGACAGGAAAACAGGTGATCTAGAGTTCGAATCCAAGGGATGCTGATTCTGAGACGCAACAGAAAAACATGGAAATCTTGCTAGCATGAAAAGAAAAAAGAGCACCTCACCCAGAAATACAGGTGACACTGGTCAGCAGCCTAGCAAGAATTTCTGCACCGTTAACAACTGCCATTTGGGCTGGAGAGATGGCTCAAAGGTTAAGAGCACTGACTGCTCTTCCAGAGGTCCTGAGTTCAATTCCCAGCAACTACATGGTGGCTCACAACCATCCGTTGTGAGATCTGGTGCCCTCTTCTGGTGTGCAGATATACATGGAAGCAGAATGTTGTATACATAATAAATAAATAAACTCTTAAAAAAGAAAACTGCCATTTTCCCTTCCCAGCTGTAGTTTTCTAGAAATCTCACAAGAAACCATATTTAGAAGGAAAGGACAGATACCAAACCCCTCATGCAACCCTAGCTCCCGGTTTTGCCTTATCAGGTTAAAACTCCATCCCAGGAGCCACCTCACCTATCAAGAGAGAAGGTCCCTGGTAACCTTTTGCAATATAATGTGAATGCACCAAAATGGTACTTAGGGCTAATGCTCGGACAATCACGGCTCTCCTGTCTTCTTGAGCATTTTACATTCTTCCCTGAAGCAGGCACATATAAGAGAGTGTATAGAAATCATAGATCACGATAACTGATATGGCACTGAATTTTTTATTTTTATGTATATGAGTGTTTTGCCTGCATGGATGTCTGTGCACCTCATGTGTACCCACTACCCACGGAAGTGAGACAAGGGAATCAGATCCCTTTGAACTGGAGTACAGATGATTGTGAGCTACCATTGTGAGCTGGGAACTAAGTCTACGTTCTCTGCAAGAGCAACCAATGTTCTTAATCACTGAGCCATCCCTGCAGGCCCTAGTGTAGTACATTTTAAATAGCCATAGCTGTTCCTACTATATGAGAGGCAGTGGGGTCTGGGAGTTTCACTGATTCAGCCAAAGTCATCTTGAACTTCAGACGAGGGCTCGGACTGAGCCCTGGAGTGTCTCCCAGCCCAGGGCTCCTCCATACACTCCCTGGACTTCATACCAAGTTGAGACTCAAAAGTTAGAAGGATTGCCTGCTTGACTACACAGAACTGAAGAGCAGAGTAACAACCAGAAGTGGAGGAGGGCAAGGTTAGAACACATTGTAATAAATGTGCAGTACAAACTACCCACCAGATAGGAAGAAACATATCTGAAGCTGGCCGGGAGGGAGGGGACTCTGGAAGCTCTCCCTGCGAGGCTGACTGATGATAGAGAAAACAGGGCAGTTGGGGGGTGGGTGGGTGAGCAGAGCAGAGCAGAGAAGGCAGAATGCATACCACACCCACAGAGAACTAGTGTGTGCCCCAAAGAGAGCCAGTCAATATCAGAGGCCCATAGCTGGATCATGAGGAGGAAGGAGTAGATGGAAGCTGGGCTCATGGCTAGACAGGACATAGGTGTGCTATATTAGTTGGCAGGGACTTACAGTCTCAAGTTTAGTTAGCAGAGCAACAGATCCTGATCACAGCAAGTATGAAATGTGGCACTAAAGAAACTCAGTCACTTTTGGCTAAAGAAAACAATTTCAGCCAAGCATGGTGGCTCCTGCCCATAATCACAATGGTTGCTGGAATTGCTGCCACACAGTGAGTTCCACGTCAGCCAGGGCTGCAAAGAAATGGGGGTGGGGAGTAATTCTATTATTTGTTTATTGTTGTGGGGTTTGTTTTGAGAAACTGTCTCATGTAGCCCAGGCTGGTTTTGGACCTGCTAAATAGCGGGAAATGGCCATGAACTCCTGATCTCCCTAAGTGCTGGGTTTAGTAGCATGTGCCACTATGTCTAACATAAGAAAGAATGAAATTTAAGGAAAAAAGAAAAGAAATAAAAATCATTAACTTTACATAATCTGTGACTAAATAGAAAATTAATCTGAGCTAGTTGCATATGCCTTTACTCCCAGCACTCAGAAGGCAGAAGCAGGCAGATCCCTGTGAGTTCTAAGCCAGTTGTGTTCTACATAATTCCAGGCCAGAGTTACACAGAAAGACCTTATCTCAGAAAAAGAAGAAAGAGTGGGACAGTGGTGTTGCACATCCTAAAACCCAGCACTAGGGAGGCAGAGGCAGGCAGATCTCTCTGTGTGAGTTCGAGACCAGTCTGGTCTTCAAAGTGAGTTCTAAGACAGGCTCCAAAGTTACACAGAGAAATACTGTCTCGAAAAACAACAACAGGGGTCGGAGAGATGGCTCAGAGGTTAAGAGCACTGACTGCTCTTCCAGATGTCCTGAGTTCAATTCCCAGCAACTACATGGTGGCTCACAACCATCCGTTATGAGATCTGGTACCCTCTTCTGGTGTGCAGATATACATGGAAGCAGAATGTTGTATACATAATATATAAATAAAATCTTTAAAAAAAGAAAAACAACAGAGAGAGACAGAGGTAGAGAGAGAGACAGAGAGAACTCAACAATGAAGAGAAATCACATTTAAAAATAGTCATCCCAACATAGTGAAACCCTATCTGAAAAGAGCCAAAGGGGGAAGGGGGCCTGAAGAGATGGATCACCAGTTAAGAGCACTGACTGCTCTCCCAGAGAATCCAGGTTCAATTCCCACCACCCACATGATGGTTTACAACTGTCTATAATTCCAGTCCTGAGGGATCTAACACCCTCTTCTGACCTCTGTGGGCACTTGCACACATGTAGGGCACAGAAGAAATATATGCAGGCAAAAGATCTATACACATAAAATAAATAAAGAAAAATGAAGCTACCACACAAAAAGCCAATTAGGCTGATGTTACTAGATAAAAACTTGGAGTGAGTTAAATGATTACTTCCCCCACTACAGTGAGCGGTAAAGAGTTGTTGCTTGTTTGTTTCCCTGCCTTCTGCCAGTGAAGCCCAGCACCCAGATGTGCTGGTAAGTATCCTACCACTGGGCAGCTCGAGGTTGCAGTCTACTCCACCCTCAGTCTTGTGTTTCTGGTGCTTTCTGTGCCTTTTTCTGGTCGGTTGACCAGACAATGTTTCATCTGTCCAAATGGGTGGGACTCCGTGGGAAGGATTTTCAAAACAAACTACAAACCAGCACAGGACCCTTCCCTGTGGCTGGCAGAAAAAGGCAAGGGAAAACTTTGTTTTGGAAAAACTAGAGAGCCCTGACTGTATTAGACCTCTGAGGCCCTGGGGCCACCTGACTATGCCAAGTCCCTCCTGAATTTGGCTTAAGCAAAGCTTCCTCTAGCTAATGGCTCCTGCCTAACATGTTGCCACTGTGTGGTCCGGCTACACTGAACTATTTTGAGTCCCTTAAGGATCATATTCTGTCACATCCAGGGTATGGCCCAGGCTGTTTCCTGGTAGGGTTCATTCATCTCCTCTCCCCCAGCATTCTTTTTTTGTTTGTTTGTTTTTTGTTTTGTTTTGTTTTGTTTGTTTTTTGAGACAGGGTTTCTCTGTGGCTTTGGAGGCTGTCCTGGAACTAGCTCTTGAGGTCTCGAACTCACAGAGATCTGCCTGCCTCTGCCTCCCGAGTGCTGGGATTAAAGGCGTGCGCCACCACTGCCCGGCCCTCCCCCAGCATTCTAAGCCTAGCCATCTTCTGCCTGCTCTTCAGTGCCTTAGTCATCTCCTCTCAGGCCTTCTCCCATCTCCCAGTAGCCTTTTCTAGGTTCTCGGGGAAGCATCTTTTTTGCCTACTTCTTACCTTTTAATTAGCTGTCCCTCTTTGATGTCCCCCTAAGAACCTGAGGTACTTGGGGTCAGGAACCATGTGGGATACCTAAACAAAACACCCAACCCAGGGCAGCCCTGGGGGATATACAAAGCCCGGAAGAGATAGCAACCGGCTCTGCTTTATGTCATGCAGAGTCATGTATTGGAACTGTGTTCTGGAGCCAGGGGTAGGGAGGGGCGGGGGAAGAATCTTCACATGCCTGGACAGTTAGGTGCTGTGTTCTGGAAGTCTAAGGGTTAACTGACTGCATTTGTTTACTCTTCCAACCTCATTCAGCATCTTGGGAGAACATGACTGATCCGGTTGCTGCTGAACTCAACTTTCTGGCAAGTTCATCTGAGGAAGAAGTGAGTTATCAAACCACTCATAGGTCCCCACCAGGGCTGCCAAAGACCTGCTTTGATGTCAAGTGGCCAGAATGTTCTCAGTTCCATTTATAGTTATTACCAGTCACACAAACACCCACTTCCTGCTTCCTCTGCCTTGGGCATCTTCCTATAACATAAAGCCAGTTTGTCTGTTGTCTCTGGGCAAACAAATCCCCATCCTACCCTGGGGTGACAGGGAAGCTAAAAGTCAACTGTGGGTATTGTAGGATTTTGACTTTTAACAACTTTGTCTGCTTCCATTTCCTGAAGATACCTCACTCATACATCCAGAAACTCATTCCTGACTGCCTGCTGTGTGCCCAGGAAGAGAATGGGAAGCAGGAGGCTGTCTGTAGTCCTTTCCTGTAAACCTCAATAAAATGAAAGGCATTTGCAGTGAAAGTAAATTATATTTACACATAAATGTCTGATGGAAAATTAGAAGCCAACGAAAATGCAAACTTAGTCTGCTTTAGAGGCCAAAAAATGAGCAGGGCATGGTAGCACGGGTTTTTAATCCCATTACTCAGGAGGCAAGAGGACCTCTGTGAGTTCGA